ACTGCTTAGAATGTTAACAACTGCTTCTAGCGAATAGGTGCAAACTGGTAGAATCCCATCCTTGAGGTAGGGCATATCCAGGTGTAATCCTATTTATTTATTTTGTTTCTCTCATTTATATAGCAATAGCACTTTGACTTATATACTGCTTTACAGGGCTTTACAGCCCTCTCTAAGTGGTTTACAGAGTTAGCATATTGCCCCAACAATCAGTGCCCTCATTTTACCGACCTTGGAAGGATGGAAGGCTGAGTCAACCTTGAGCCTGGTGAGAATTGAACTGCCAAATTACAGACAGACAGCAGAAGTAACCTGCAGTACTGCACTCTAACCACTATGCCACCACGGCTCTTATATAGCCACTCATTTCACAATAAAGGTGACTCACAATAAAAGCAGCCATATAATTCAAGTTTAAAAACTACCATTAAAAACATCAGCAATGTTATCATTAACTAGATAGGGGAGAGAATTGATGTTAAAAAATAATGCAGTCATCTCATCTGTAGCATACCTCTTCTGCCAGGCCTAATGCGATGGGCAGATGTCATTGGGTGGAGGTGGGTCAAAGCCCAAACCTTGAATTGGACCTGAAAACAAATTGGCAACCAATGCAGTTTGCAGAGCAAAGGTATGGCACTCTAGGGATACACATAACTCTTCCACAGTGCTCTATTTTGCATCAGCTGATGCTTGCCGAGGGCAGCCCCAGGTAAAATGCATTATAGAGGTCCATTCAGGAGGTGACCAGGGCATGAGTGACTGAGCTTCCTGGGCCAGGAACAGGCACAAATAGGCCCACAATACAAAGCTGTGCCAAAGCTCTCTCAGTCACAACAGCCACCTGCTCTTTGACTTACTGTACTTTATCGTGTTCTGTCTCTATGGTTATAATAAATGAGTGGTGTGGAATGTGTGTGGAATGTCCATGCAACTCTCATTAGTTATTGATCAGGTTAATGTTCATAGATACCTGAGGTCAACAGCATTTTGAAAGCCCCATACAGGGTCTAGTGGGAGTGCCAGCTTGGCCTAGTGTTTAAGGCACCAGGCAAGAAAATGGAAGCTGTGAGTTCAAGTTCTGTCTTAGCCACAAAAGCTAGCTGGGTTATTTTGGACCAGTCATTCTCTTTCAGTCCAATCCGCCTCACAGAGTTGTTGTAGAGAAAACAGGAGGAAGGTGTGTTGGATATGTTCACTGCCTTGAATTATTTGTAAAAATAATCAAGGCAGGATACAAATAAACAAATAAATCTCCATGTTACAGAAATACTGATTTTATCTCTTCCATAGTGATTCCAGTGGAGCCTTGTCAGTAATTCTGTGAATGAAAAGGGGGATGTATGAAAATGTATTTATATGCATGTTTGGAATTCATACTAATGCAGGCCTGATTGAAGTTCTACATTTACAAAACCTGCAAACTTACAAGCTGCAAATTTAAGCACTTTATATGACATCCATATGAAACTGTTGGAACAGATTACAAGGCAACTTTATGCTATGCTTTGTTTCAAAATCGCAGGGCAACTGGTGGATGCACTCAAGAAATATGAAATTATATTCTATCTGGCTGGCTCGGAGGTCGTCTTGTCTGCGGTGTTCCTGGCTGTTGCTTCGTACTGCTGTCTGAATGTGAAAAAAGAAACTACCCCTCAGCTAGAGAATCCTTCTATAGTTAGAAGTAACAGTGAAACGGAAGAAACAGAAGCAGATTTACCGGAAGCGAAGGAAAACCTCGACAATGACCAGTCTCTGGCTCACAGCACTGACAGTATTGGAAGTGACAGGGGGAATCATACTGCAATATACAACAATGGTGGACAGCCCAAAGGGGAGAACATAGCTTTGGTTCCAGATGGTTGCAGTATTGATCAGGTAGGGAAAATAGTTTTAGCCACATAAGAGAACCAAAAACAAAAAGATCCAAAGACTCAGTGACATCAGCACATCAGATCTGATTTACACAAGAGGAGGATATGGAAAGCATAAATTCTTGAATGGTATGAGGGCAGGGACAAAAGCTTTTTAAAAAAAATACAGAGTCAGAATGGTACTATAAACAAACTTATGGAATCCAAACCATATTATACCTCTCCCATGAATAAAGAATTGTATCATTCTCTTCAATATTATATAGGTTTGCACTCATGCATATACTATATCAGCACTTACATTATCTTACACCTACATTAGTCTTAGTGATCAGTTGGCTGCTAATTCAATATAACTTCTTTATCCATCTACCTCTACAGTCCTGGTGTTCAGCAAAACTAAACCTTGTGATTATTCTAGCTTGAACATGTGTTTATTTATAATATCAAAAATGCAAAACAGAAGAATTCTTGTAGCTAGGATTCATGAAGGAATAACATTGCAAACTGGCAAGCAGGCATTTTAAAAGTGTGGCCAAATATCATATCGTGACTGATAGTAAGTAGATGACTGCATTTCTGTTGGTCAAAACTAGAAGCTTTTATCCCTTCTAAATTAGTATTAGACGACAGATGTGTTGGCCAGATTCTGTAAATTTCAGAATAAGCCTGTTTGATATACATGACAGGAAATTAGAAACAATTTTAGCTTTGCCTTAAATAGGAGCTAGCATAATGGTGCTATGGAAATTAGAATTTTTGTATGCCAGTTGCAAATATATCAGATAATTTATGCTATGACTCAAGCCATAAACTGCAAGTGAGTATCCTTTGTGGTTACAATTTGCTACTAGAAACTAAGAAACTATCTTCATCATAGAGCCACAGAGGCGCAGTGGTTAGAGTGCAGTACTGCAGACTAATTCTGCTGGCTGCCCGCTGCCTGCAGTTCAGCAGTTCTAATCTTACCAGGCTCAAGATTGACTCAGCCTTCCATCCTTCTGAGGTGGGTAAAAGGAGGAGCCAGATTGTTGGGGACAATAGGCTGATTCTGTAAACAGCTTAGAGAGGGCTGTAAAAGCACCGTTAAGCAGTATATAAGTCTAAGTGCTATTGCTTTCTAGATCCTCATTGACAATATGATACAGAACTTGCGGGCACACAAATTTAAAACCAAAGTAAATACTCATATTTATTGTTCACAAGAGATCATAGAATTTGTATGCCTAATATATTTTCAGAATTGTAAAACTATCAGCATGTGACCAATATGTGACTAAAAGTAAAAACATGCCATAAATATTTAGTCTGATAGCACCTTTTCCAATTTCATTTCATTTCATATCATTTCATTAAAAATATGCATGAGCTTTTGTGATCTGTAGCTCAGTTCTTCACACAGGACAGCAAAATCAATGTAGGATTTCAGTTCAAACTATGCTGGGGGTGGGTGGGTGAGACAGGTTTGTTTGCCAGATGTCTCCCCCTCCTGGGAGGTGATATGAGGGGAAATGTTAAAGGGAAAATCAGGCAGAAAGGTAAGGAAGAGGTAAGTTGGCAGAACACTGAATATTTTAAGCCAATAACATTGTTCTGCTCAAGCAGAAAGTTACAAATTCAAGAAGTTCCCACATGACTTTGACTATCTGTAAAATGAATCAAAATTGAATTGTATTTCCATATATTCTGAACAGTCAATGTCACATCTTCCAAAATGTGCAGTCCCTCAGATTATGCTGCTGCCAATATGGTTGAAGTAGGACAGGAGCTGTAGTCCAACAGATTAGGAGTACTTTAGGCTGCACACATGAGCACAGAACCCCAGAGCAATTTTCCCTTTCAAACAAGACAATAGGCACAGAAACGTATTTATCTGCTCTGATGGCAAGTTTTTCCTGTAATAATTCTGCACAGAAAGCAGACAGCCTTATTTGTAGATATAGAAGTGCATTGAATTTACATTTGCCACATTTGATGTGGATCTGGGAGAGAAATTCAATTGGGAAAGTTCCTATAATAGCTTTTTGATCAGGCAGGTACAGGATACAACACCAGAACTACCTATAGCCTTATCCAACACTGAAATATTCAATGGGGTACTGATGGAGAACAAGTGTCCCAGTCTGGAGAACGGGTCAAGCAGGAAATTAGTCTGGAATCATTACGTAAACACAACAGAGCAAGGTCTGACTCCTCCTGAACGCCTTTGAGTCTTATCTAGTCCTTCCCAGGTGAAAGCTACCAGCTGGAGTATTCCTGTGGAATAGACATAGAACAATAGCTTGTTTGAACTCTAAAAGTTTGCATCAAAAAAAATTGGGAGGCAGCAATCATGTCATCCCTAAGATCTGGTTGTTCACACCTGACAGGTGCCTATCAATACAACTTATTTTCTCATTTCTAGAACATTTGAGGAGCTGCCAATCAAGATGATATAGGAAAGTCCACTTGTGTTTGTCTGTTTTGTGGGTTTGATTTTTAGGAACATTTTGGAAACATTTCCCTTTTGGAACCAAATGATTCCTGCAATCTGGAAGGAATTTGATTCTTCCATTATTATTCTTTTTTTTTTACTATGGTGTAAACAGAAGGATTAAGAAGACAAAAACCTAAAGCTTAAGTTGGAAGGAAAAAGACCAGAAACTTCATATTCTTATTAGAGAATAATAAGTCGAGTGGAGTCATGGGGCTAGGACCTTGGAGGTATCTTAATCCAACCCTTGTCAAGGCAGGAGTCCTTATTCCAATCTGGAGAAAGGCTGTCCAATCTTTTCTTGAAAACCTCCAGCGATGGAGCCCCCACAAATTTAGAAGGGAAGCTTTTCCACCACATAATTGTTCTGTCAGGAAATTTCTCCTTAGGTTGGATCTCATTTTGACTGGCTTCCACCCATTGTTTCTTGTCTAGTCCTCGGGTGATTTGGAGAATAGATGGATGAGCTCTTCAGTGACAACACTTCAAGTATTGGAAGGCAGCTATCATGTCACCTCTAAGATTTCTCTTTGTTACTCATTCTGTCTGACATGTAAAATCCCACTATTCTGATTATTCTGACCCTAGCTTGGCTTACTTTTGGTGTGTGTGTGAGAGAGAGGGGGATGGGGGGAAGAGAGAGACTTTATTTCTGGCTTATTTTTGTAATTTTGTTTTTAGATCACATCTGAATATTATATTTATTCATGAAAATATAAGAGAGAGAAATATTTGTAATTCTCCCCATTTCCTTTGACAGTTTATCATTCTCATTTCCAAGGCTGCCAAATTGATGATTAATGAGTGGGAAAGGGGTGCTAGGGGGGACACACATAATAGTCTCTCTGTCCACAAAGGCAACATTCAAAAGTGGGGAAATGTGCAGATGTAATGATAGTGAATTCTATGAATTAAGAACTTAAGTCTTAAAATGGTGAACTTACTGTTAACCTCAATAATCTTTATGTCTCCCTTTTAAGGGCCTTGACAATGCAGAGAAGTCAACTTTTTAACACTAAATTCACTTGCTGGTAGCAATATCATTCAAGATTAAAAACGACAGAAAAGTGTTGGGAAAAGAAAACCCTGGGAAACCAAAGGTGCTCAACATTTTTACATGAGATACTCAGCCACTGAGAGGGAGGGAGGGAGGGAAGTGGGGGGGCGCTGTATATTTAATCATAGTCCATCTGCACAGGAAGCCATATTGGGTAGATTGCTGAAGGCTGCTTAAAGGAATTTTCAGTTCCACCAGCTCTGGAGGAGGTCCGTGAGATTTTGAGAAAAACACAAACGGACAAAGAATTATATTTTTTTGCAAGATTTTGCATACGTCATTACCCAAATGCTCCCATTCAACACAGAATCTTGATTCATTCCCTAGTTGGACTTGTACAAACAGAACAGTCACTGTGGACAAGCTGTCTAGAGAAATAAAATTTATCCGTCTCTGAAGGGATTTTGACAGGATTCAGAAATTCAGGCATCATCAATGAGTTTCTCCCCATTTTCTTCCTCTTTTTTATTGCATTCTCTACTTCCACAGCCTTCCTCTTCCTCCTCGTCTTCTGCTCCATCCGTGAAGACATCCTTTTGGCCGTAGCTCAATGTGGTACATGCTAGGTCCACTTCAATTGGGAAAACATCTGCTTCTCTTAGCACAGCATAACAATCGTCATAGTAGTTGGAAAGCGTGGACACGAAACGCTGGAGTTGGAATACAATATCTTGCACTGCAAAGGAGAGAAATCATTGAGCAAAGAGGAACACAAATCCAGGTTACACTCAGCTTATAGCCTAGGACTGGGGTGTTAAACTCGATTTCCTTGAGGTCACATCAGGGTTGTGTTTGACCTCGGGGGGCCAGGGTGGGCATGGCCAACTCAATGTCAGTCGTGTTGGGGGCGTCTGTGCCAGGGAAAACGGGCTCCTGAGGTCTGTTTTTGGCTGTGATGGCCTCCTGCAACCCTATGCCAGCGAAAACGGGCTCGGGAGGGCCGAGCTCCGTTTTCGCTGGCAGAGGCACCATGGGCCAGTCCCTTGGTGTTTCCAGGGTGGCCCTGCAGGCCAGATCTAAGCAGCCCAAGGGCTGAATCTAGCACCTGGGCCTTGAGTTTGACATCCCTGGCCTTGGATGTGCTTGTCTTCCTATGCATGGCAATAATCAAGCACTTTATAAATGGCTAAGATGATACTTTGGCTCTTTCAGGGTCAAACATGTTTTCTTTCCATCCCGTATTCTTGTTTCTAAGGAGCTTGATAGTCTTCATCTGCAGATCTAGGTCACTCAAAATTCCCGGAGGTCATTTGGATCTAAACAAAAAGCAACCACACTTACCATGTTTCTGGTCTAGCAGCTCCATCTTTTCTAGTACATCCTTCCTCATTTTGGCAAAACGTGAACGTGCCTCCTGGCGGCAGCGCAGGATTAAACGATATTCATAGTTCCCAGTTCCAACCCGGTAGAGAGGTTCTCCCATGGCCTACCAAAAATACTATGTTACTATAACAACCGACGGGGTAGAGTGGGCAACATCTCATATATGAATTAAGGCTTCTTTCATTCATCCTAGCAAACTGTGAGCTCCTCACATGATGGTGCTACATCTTTACTTGGCCAACAGTCAGACATTAAAGCATCTTTTGCTAAAGGAGCAGATGCCTAGAACCCTGAGGGTAAGAAAACCAACATTTAAGGAAACAAAAACTCATCACAAGGTCATCACATGGTAAATGAGATCAAGGGACAAATCAAACAGATAGTCAGTTTTTCCATTCCAAATTAATGGTGAATCTATCCCATAATTATAGAACCTTTAATGCAAATCAATATTGACAGAATACTCTCTGGAGCCATTTGCTTGACACTTTAATCTTAATCTTTAAACCTGAAACTTTAATGTCTGTAATTTGCATTAGCTACAATTTTGTTCAAATTCTTACCATATGCTTTTTCAGTAAAAAAGAAAAGTCTGCTCTGAATCTGCTCCTCAAGATTTGAACTTTAAAAAGCTTTTCTTCTGCTCAAATAAAAATAAATGGCACGCCAGATGCTTATCAGATGATTTGGCCTTTCCATCTAAGGCTGAGAAAGGATGATGAGCTGCTGGAGATCATAGTTGTCATTATAGGAAACAAAAGCCACAAAATACAACTCTGTATTGACTCCACTGGGATATTATCTATCCAGCTTCTTTGCGGTGGCAATCAAATGTTTGGCCTCTCTTCAGCAGAACTCATTAATACTTAAACAATCTATGATTGTGCAACGCAAGTGAATCAATCTTGTGTTACCGCACTCAAAATTCCAATCTGATCCAACGTTTCTGGAAGGCGTCAAGATGGAAAGGCTGCCCTCAGAGCATGCCAGATGAAAATGATAGCTGACATAAACATTATCAATCTCAGTTTGAAAGTTGAAATAAGGTATAAACTTAATTCTTAAGCACCTTAAAAGTTAGGGAAATCTGAGGCATTTAGAAGGTTCATTTGATAACACTTGGCGACACAAAGCAAGATTCAATATGGAATGTACACAATAAACTTCCCTAAATGTAAATCTTTGAAAACAATCAATATCTGAGTATGTCTATGAACAAATCTGGGATCTCAGTAGAAATTAGAACCTCTGTACTTACAATGCAGCTGTATTCTTCATCATCCATCTCTTTCACCTTTAGACAATATGACTGAAAGGGAACAAAAAGCACAGTGTTACAAGTTGCAGAATAACCAACCAGTTATAACAAAGACAAAAATAAAATGTCCACAGTCCATTCCATTCTACGCAGTATCATCCTGAATTGTTAGATATATTATATGCACAGATAAAGAATTAAAGCAGACAAGTTTGATCAGTTTACATTCAAAGATTGAAATTCTCTTTCAAAGAATATGCATTTTAAGCCCCTTGGTTTTTTTTCCTAAAGAAATAATTAAAACAAAAAGAACAGCTCACCAAATACTCAAACTTGACATCCAAATACTTCTTGATAGTTAATCTGGTATCAGGAATTGCTTTGTTCAGATAGGTGTTCAAGTCTGTCAACATCTGTAAGGAAATACTGGGAATGAAAATTGAAGATAAAGCAAAATAAAAGAGACAAGCTTTCACGTGTGAGAAGGCTCACCACCCGAAATTAACTAGTATATATGATTTGGGGACATTTCTGTCAACTCTCAGAGTAGTTAAGCCATGTGACACATAGATCAACTTTCTCATTATATGGACTAGATGACAATCTTATTTATGAGCCAATCTGAGCTAGCTCTGCATGCCAATGCTATGTTATTCTAGTCTAAAACAATATTGTTTCTACCTTGCCATCTCCATTATGCTGTCCTGTCACAATTCAAGGCAAGTCAGGCTAATCAACTTTATTTTATTTATTTGATATGAAAAAGTGCTTTGCCCTTATTTCTCGCCTAGCTTGGAAAGAATTAAGAAGAAGAAGCCAAATAAACAGGCCGTGAAGAAAGCCTCACAGATTAATAACCAAAGAGGCCATATAAAGCAAAGAGTTGTAGCTCACTAGTGTAGTCAGATGAGACGATCTCACATTCTTATGCCTTTTATCAAGCACTGTTTGTTGTCCATTATTTACACCCCCAGAAACAGTAAACTTTATAGCACTGCACCTTATTTTGTGTGAGTTGATCAGCAAAAGAGGAAGAGTGGGGAATGTATGTAAGATAGCAGAAAGAGTTCAACACTATGCAAGATTAGCTTTTTCTCTGGTAATATCATACTACTAACTAGAGCATACAAAACATTTGCTAGACCAGTACTTGAATACAGCTCATCAGTCTGGAACCCACATTACGTATCTGATATTAACACAGTTGAGAAAGTCCAGAAATATAAGAGTTCTCCACTCCTCTACTCGTTGCAGAATACCTTATGCCACCAGACTTGAAATCCTAGAAAACCTAGAATTACGCCGCCTACGGTCCGATCTAAGTATAGTACATAAAATCATACATTGCAATGTCCTACCTGTCAATGAATACTTCAGCTTCAACCATAACAAGAGCACACAATAGAAACAAATTCAAGGTAAACCACACCAAATTTGATTGCAGGAAATACAACTTCAGCAACAGAGTGGTCAATGTCTGGAATACTCTACCTGATTCTGTGGTTTCTTCCCCAAACCCTCAAAACTTTAACCTTAGACTGTCTACTATTGACCTCACCCCTTTCCTAGGGGGCGTGCATAAGCGCACCAATGTGCCTACCGTCCCTGTCCTATTGTTTCTTTTTTATTTTTCTTATATGTATCCATTTCATGTATTCATAACTATGTTTATACTTGTACCTGTTATCTTATAATCACTTGACAAATAAAATATACATACATACATACATTACTGTTTGGTTTTGGCCCTGTCATCACTCTGTCACCATCACAGTCTAATAGTTGTAAGCTTCACTATTTTATCCCATGAGTCGACAGCCATTTTAGAAAGAAAAGGTTCCCATCTATATCTTTGGGTATTGATGATGCTACAATGGAATTCTATACAGGTAGTCCTTGAAATTAAAACCATTAGGTTAACAAATGCTTGATGTTACCATGGTGCTGAAACAAGTGACTTACAACCGTTCTCATGCTTACAACTGTTGCAGCGTCCCTGTAATCATAATCAAAATTTGGCAGCTTGGCAACTGGCATGTATTTATGACACTGCAGTGTCCCAAGGTCACATGATAACCATTTGCGACCTTCCCAGGGGGCTTCCAACAAGTGAAGTCAATGGAGCAAACTGGATTCATTTAACAACTATAGCAAGAAATCAGACACTATTCTTTTAACAACTGCATTGCTGAGCAACAGAAGTTCTAGTCCCAATTATAGTCATAAGTCAAGTACTACTTGTACCTTAGAGACAGTGGTACAACACTTCTCAACTCTCAAACAGTTGTGTTACCTATCTAGATTATCATACTAAAATGATATTTTATCTTATTTAGTAAATTTATATGGCCAGCCATCTCACATTAAGTGACTGTAGGCAGTGTACAATCATTACAATAAAACAACAGATATTCAAATTATCAATTATAGTCAGTCATTGTTTTTATTAAAAATATAGTCTTTTAAGCATGCGTATACGGTTTTTACATAAAGAATTATTATTTTGAGCGTAATAAATATAAAACACACATTCTTACTGGTTTAATGGTTTTTAAAAGATGGATTCCAAATTTCTCAATACTGCGATGAGCATCAGCAAATTTTACAAATGCTTCACTGGCCGCTGGCTGAGGTTCCCGTACACCAATAACCGAAAAAACATCACCAAATGCTGGTCATCATACATCAAAAACATGCAATAGAAACTGGAGTCAAAAATCATAGGTATATTTTCTGGTATATATTACTCAATTTTTCACCACTTCAGACAATGATTAATACCCTGAAGATTATGGAACTTGAAACCTGACATGTCAGGAGGACACCAGAATGCAAACATGCCTCAATTTAAGCTTTCTGGTGTCCCACTTTAAATCTCATTCTAGTCAGTAAGCTAGAAGGTATTTCTCCAATTGGTTGCTCTGGATAATGGCTCACACAGACCTGGTACCAGCCCTGCATACAACCCATAGATATTCTAGCCCAAATTTTGAAAACCAGTGGCCATATCTGGAATTTGGAAAGAATATTATGACCATTCTCACAAAATTGGAGCCATGTTGATTATGGCCAAAGCTTGCTCCCCACAAGTTCTGTGTTTTCTTAGTTTCCTTCTGTTTTTCTTCTAAGTAACTAAGCATGCTTTTAAAACACCACTGCAGAAATCCTATCAATTTTTTTCTTATAAATACCTCTTAGACATTAGCAGGGCCCAGAGGAATCTTGGAAATACTGTATATAACATGCTTACTTGGCTTTTTATTTTGTAGCATGCTAGTTGCATATTTATTTTAATTACAATGAACTAAAAAATAAATTAGACAGAGTCAAGTTGGCAGAATCAGACGAGAAACTGGGAGTCTGTGAATTCTAGACCCGCCTTAGGCACAAAACCAGCTAAGGTGATCTCGGTCCAGTCAATTTATCTCAATCCTAGGAAAAAAGCAATGGTAAACCACTTCTGAAAAACTTGGTCAAGAAAACTGCAGGAATTTGTCCAGGCAGTCTCCAAAAATTGGACACAACTGAACAAAGGTAAAAAAATAGGTGGAGCACACATTAACATCTCAATACAATTGGTATTTAAAGAGGTTATGGCCATGGTTGGCAAATGCTCTATCCATTTACCTCTGTGAGTCTGAGACAGTTCAAAGAAAGCTCTGAGAAGACTCTTGGTATGTTCTGTCATCCCTAGGCAAAGGAAAAAAATACTAGTCATTCACTAAAATCTCATTTATCTAGGAACATTTGTTACTTTTCAGTCTACATTTTAACACTAAAAGCAGATGTTTGGTAAAATAAAACAAAATCAAAATATGGTTGGGGACAAGTCAACACTGATATGTTTTTATTCTGAGATTTGCCTGCAGAAGTAACTGAGTGGCAAAAGTTGTACTGACCAAATACAAACATCATTCTTTGCTCTTCACTGGTTATGTTCTGTGCTTTCATGCTTCTGGGAACAGTTTGCTCACCACAATGGACATATTGTTACTAAACCACACAAAAGCATCAACTTTTCCATGGCCATTCAATATAGGAAATCTGCTTGTGGCTCTAGAGAAGGAGCTCTAACTACAGACCAAATAACTTATCAACAAGACTGAAAATAAATCACGCGGAAGGTTTTATTGATAATAAGCCATGTTATCAATATATCAAGCAAAATAATGCTTCAAGATACTTTTATATGGTAAACAGGATATAAGCAAACAAATGGGCAATTCCACCAGTCACATATGATCTAGATCTCAAATCTACCATTTCCCCGAAAATAAGACCCAACCAAAAAATAAGTCCTAGCATGATTTTTGATGATGCTCATAATATAAACCCTACCCCCAAAATAAGCCCCAGTTAAGATAATCTGTCAGATGGACACATTTAGTGCCGTATTTTCCCCAAAATAAGACCTAACTGGAAAATAAGCCCTGATGTATCTTTTGGAGCGAAAATTAATATAAGACCCGGTCTTATTTTGGGGAAAAACATGGGTACTTGTAGCTCCCAAATATTCTCTAATTCTCTCTACTACTGCTTGTTTCCTTCTACTGTAAACTGCTAAGAAATATTCTCTCTCAAATTCATCAACTGTTATTGTACCAATTTGCAAGATAGCAGAAGGTGGGAGACAATGCATTGTTTTTCAATTCTTGTGTGTTAATGAAGTGGGGGAAGCTTATAGCATCTTCACAGCATTATCAGCCATTGTTGAAATGATATAAAGTCTGTCCTGATTATTATTAATTTGGCACAATAATGTTTAGAGTGTTCTTGAAGCTGCTGTAAGTCACTAGTGGAGAAATGACCAAATTCTGGATGTTTGCATAGGAGGGGGTTTATCTTAAAAAGGCAGTGGGTGGAAGAAGGCTTTGTAGATGTGAGGGGTAAGAGAGACAGTCCACATCTGCTCATCAAATGTTCCAGATGTAAGCAGGCCTAATCTGCCACCACATGTTGTACTGCCTGCACCTTTGTGTACAATATACTTACTCAAATCAATTGATCTCCCAAGAAATCATCATTGATATGAGCTGTAAGACAACAGTTTTCTAGACTACAAAGAAAAAAAAAGTGTGATTACCTTTATATAGTTCTGCAGTCCTCTCCAGCTCTTCTAATCGCTTTACCAAGCCATCTAGAACAATAAAGAACAGAAGTTGATTATAATGGTAAATCATTTTAGGAGCATAAAGTGTTACATCTATTATTTCACATCCTGCACTTGGGAATGATAGAGGCCAAACCCTGACCGTTTTACATAGTTGCCATTGTATCTCTCAATGTCTTCTCATCTCAAGGTTAAACATACCCAGTTTTTAAAAATACCTTTTCATTGGCCTCCGTTCCTAGTGCCCTGATTACCTTCATCCTCTTTGTGAACCTGTTTCGGTTTCCCTGAAAAGATTAATGTTTGCTTGAGGTGGGGTTTCTGACTGTAGCATAATAAAGTGGAACAATTGTTTTGGGTGATTTGGAAACTAATATTTCATTGATGCAATGTAAAAATGTTCTGTTTTTTTTTTTTTTTGCAGCATCATTATACCGCTGACTCATACTAACTTTGCAATCAACTACAGGTAGTTCTTGATTTACAACTACAATTGAGCCCAAAATTTCTGTTGTTAAGTGAGACATTTGTTAAGTGAATTTTGCCCCATTTTATGACCTTTCTTGCCACAGTTGTTAAGTAAATTGCTGCAGTTGATAAGTTAGTAACCCGGTTGTTAAGTGAATCTGGCTTCCCCATTGACTTTTCTTGTGAGAAGATCTCAAAAGATGATCACATAACCTTATAAATGAAATTGCACGCACGCGCACGCACACACACACTACAATATGGCCATTTCCTGGCTATATGTTAACAGGCCAGATAACTTGCTTTGTATGTATTCAAATTAGACATTTCAATGTTTGTAGTGTTTTAATGATTTCTATTGTTTTAAAATGGTTTTAAGATTTTAGTTGTAATAAAGGGAGTCATTCTCCCAAACACCTGAGGGTAGGACAAGAAGCAATGGGTGGAAACTAATCAAGGAGAGAAGCAACTTAGAACTAAGGAGAAATTTCCTGACAGTTAGAATAATTAATCAGTGGAACAACTTGCCTCCAGAAGTTGTGAATGCTCCAACTGGAAGTTTTTAAAAAGATATTGGATAACCATTTGTCTGAAGTGGTGTAAGGTTTCCTGCCTAAGCAGGGGGTTGGACTAGAAAACCTCCAAGGTCCCTTCCAACTCTGTTTTTCTATTCTATATGCTTTTGAATTGTGAGCTGCCCAGAGTCGTTTGCTGAGATAGACAACTATAAAAATGAATGAACGAATGAATATTACATTTACAACATTGAATTATTTACTAAAACTGTCTTCTGACATAAAGTGACATGGTTAGTCCACAACAACTGATTCTTGTCAAATCCATGCTGACTTCTGCAAATTACCACACTGCTTTCAAAGTAGTTTTGAACCAGTATCTTTACTTCTATATTCTAGAATACTCCAGGTTCTTACAAGATTTTAATTCTCTGGAATTCCTCATCCTCTTCCTTTTAGGGATTTGCTTTCTTTTGCAAATTGTCTCTTCATCTCTTTTTCAGGATTTCTCAAAGATAATACAGAAAGTCTCAGTGAGACTATCAGCTAATTTCTATAGTGCTCTAGGAGACCATTCACTTGATTCTACAATTTAATCTCAAAATAAACAGACATCTCTTGGCCATCTCAATATCCAAATTCTTTCTCAGAGCCCTTTCTATGGGTTAAATGGCATGATGGGAACAGTGCAAAGCTTAAGCCCATGCTGCCCACAGATGGCATTTCTCCTGGCACAGCCATGCCTTTATGCACTTGTTAAGACACTAGGAGAGGGTGAAAAACTTGACAAAGGTAACAGAATTCATTCTGAGGCCACGGACAACCTTGTTAGACCATCACACATTCCCAGAATCACTATAAGGAATGGCTCCTGCCCCTGCCTTACAACTGAGAGGTTAGGACTGAGATATAGCAGCTTGCCTGAGGATCACCCTAAAGTGGTGATGCTTGAAGTGGGGATCTCTGGTATTTAACAAGTATATTACATTGGCTCTCAATCCCAGAGTTATGAGTCAAGTATTGACGTCACCAACTGGATGAGATTCAGTTTCAGGAGAAACTAAGAATGCTTAATCCTTGATGGCACTTGGCTCAACGAGCAACAATAGTGAAACTGCTTCTTGCATATTACTTACCATTGCAGAGGATAGCTCGGCTCAGTCCTAGGGCATCTGCTGTCCCTGAGCTCATGTTCTCCACCAGGCGGTGCTTCACTTTCTTTAGCACTGCATTCCAGGAAAGAGACACGTAATCCATAAGCAGCATTTTTCAAAATGTAGCACAATCCCTGCATTTCACAAGAACAGGCTAAAAAACAAATCTTTAAGAGAGTCAAAGTCTTTCCTTACCAATGTCTAAAGTTTTCCCCTGCTTTGGATCAGCCTGGAGCTTGTTGTAATGAATTGTTACCTCTCCCTAGAAGACCAAAATCAAAATCAATATAGTATGGAAGAGAAAGGCACTACTACTTGCATGAGCAAAAACCTCACAATTTACATTCCAGCAATCCTTGAAGTCTCTCACCTTTACCACCTGTATCATTTTGGCTACTTCTACTTTGGTTTTTCCTTTGACTGACTTCCCATTCACACCCGTGATTTCATCACCAGCTGCCAACGTGCCATCAAGAGCTGCAGGAGTATTGTCAAATACCTGAGGAGGAATATATAGTGATGGTGGAAGAGCCGTGGTGGGGCAGTGGTTAGAATGCACTATTGCAGGCTAACTCTGCCCACTGCCAGTTCGATCCTGGCCAGCTCAAAGTTGACTCAGTCTTCCATCCTGAGGTCGGTAAAATGAGGACACAAATTGTTGGGGGCAATATGCTGACTTTGTAAACCACTTAGAGAAGGCTGTAAAGGATTGTGAAGCGGTATATAAGCCTAAGTGTTATTGCTATGATCAAAGAAGAACTATAGAAAGAAAAAGAACTATAGTTTCCATGCATAATTGCTGCTTTTCTTGCCACATATGTTAGTTATAAAAATACCTTAATTTTCAGAAATATCATGACAGGACCTTCATAAACATTTGTTGCAGTGATGGGATTCAAATTGTGTTACCACCGGTTCAGTGGGCATGGCTTGCTGGGTGTGCTTTGCCTAACGCCGCCGCAAAGCTTTCCCCACACCAGCTGAGACCTGCAGCGCCATCAGCTGAGAGGATAAAGAGAAAAGCGCAGGGGCAGGTGGCAGGGCCAATCCTGTGTTTTCCTCTCAGCTGATTGTCGAGGACTTTTTTCCCCTTTTCAGCTGATCATGGGCTTTTCTTTTACTGAACCGGAAGCATACCGCCACTGATTTGTTGCCTATATCTATACTATACAAAAGCTGGTTACTTGGTTGAAATATGCCATTCTACTAGAGGTTTATTTGATATCCATTCTTCTATAATAAAAGCTGCTAGATGACGTGATGTTTTTTAGTCCAGAGATTTCAAATCAGTTAATTTTTTTCACTTTCCATAGATCGCTCACCATTCGGACAGCTTCCTGTATCACACTGCATTAGACACTGAAAGAAATCTTACTGCCACTTTTGAGGAGGTTCATAGTCTAACCTTTTGAATTATACATTCAAAACTATCACTGAATTCTCCCTGAACCCCTCTTGTTTAACATCCATGTATTTGCCACCCAAAACCTCTGCATGTCCCATTTTTGTCCTCCCCGGCATCCAGAAGCACTCTGTAGGCCAAAAACGTGCCCGTTTTTGAGGCCTCCGGGGAGCCCCCTTTTGCCCTCCAGAGGAGGCCAAAAATGGGACCCCTGGAGGCCTCTGGAGGCCAAAAACGTGCCTGTTTTTGGCCTTCAGAGTGCTTCTGGATGCCGGGAGGACAAAAATGCAACATGCGAAGACAAAAAACTATTTTTTTCTTGCTTTCCTCCTCTAAACCAAGGTGCATCTTATAGTCCGAAAAATATGATATTTATTATCCCATAAGCTTCATGCACCGTAGTCCACTACTCTTTGCTGCTGCTACTATTATTGCTATCGCTACAGGCTACAAGGCTGGATCTTCAGAAAATGTCCCCACAATCAAAATTCTGCTCCCAGGATGTTGCATGCAATTTTTATTATTATTTTTCTTTCTAAAGAGTATATTCCTCTTCCCTAACACTAACCTGGACGATATACAGGCAGGGGCAATACTGGGCTCCTCCACCTATACTAATTCCAATCAGATTCTGAGAGTCTTTCTTCAAGGTCACTGTTCCAGGTACTGTAGGAATCCCCCTAAAACAGAGATAAAAACACAAATACCTGCCAACTGCCTCTGCTTTCACCACAACAGAGATATAAATAATTGGAATCGAAATTGTGTCAGATGTTTTCCTAAATATCAAGGTTTAGACTAAAAAGACAAATGCAACAATGAAATATAATCTGAGAGTGAGATAGGTGGCCTCTAAATTTGATAAATATATAAAATATGAACAATATCTTTATCTTGATTAAAACAAGCAAATTATTTGCAGAAGCATAGCAAGATGCAAAACGTCTTGCAGGATTAAACTGTGGTTTCTCACTGATACATTTTAGCCTTCAGCTTTAACTTCCAGCCAGCATGTCTTAGATTTTAAAGTTTCATGACAACATAAAGCCAGATATAAATTTACAAAGTTCATTCCATTATTTTCCAGCGCAAATCACTGCTACACTGATTTTACTTCTAGGACTTACTGTTTTTTAAAACAAAAACTGATTGTTTTTCTCTCAGGTATTAAAAATTGATACTTTCAGACACGCATAACAAGCTTCTTCTGTATAGATCTATATTCTTATTGTAATTTATTATTTTCTCACTCAGTTCTCTCCAAATCTGTTGGATTCTGAATTCATAATCTATACAATAAGATGGCCAGAAGAATTTTTCAATCAAGTAAAAACTGAAAAAGAGCAATCACCTAATAACAAAAGAGAAATTAATGCAAACTATATCCAGAATTGCCTAGTTTACATGTTTCTTTTTAGTCATTTAACCAAGAAATACTGAAGATTTTGACTTGACTTCTACAGAATACTCTTTCCCAAACCAAACTGGAGAAAAAGATCTGTCAATGAATAAAGCTCCAGAACTAAGGCATGTTGATTTGGCTCTAAATCTACTAGTCTTTGCTATTTTTCTGAATTCTTGTTGCATCTTTTCTTTCTCAGTCGAGAAATTATTGTTGTGTGCTTTCCAAACAATTCTAATTCCAGTTTTCCCCAAATCAAATACTAAGATACACATTACTAGCAGGAAACAGGGAAAAAAAAAAAAGAAAACTTACAGCTTGTCTTCCTCAATGTCATACTCCAAGTCTGCAAACATTGTTCTTTTAAATTAGTGATTACTTTGTGAAGAATCTGATTTTTTCCGGACTTCCTAAAAGGAAAAAAAGATCATCAATGGAGATTACTTATCTCATCTTTTCATATGCTTACCGAAATCTTTGCCTTTGCATTTCTAACTTCTATCTGCTGAACAGTAAGGAAAAACTGCCTGCCTTCTCAGGTTATTATCATTAAACAATCTATGAAGCTATTAATAAAATATGACACATATCACAATATAATGTAAAGGCCTAGTTCCTAACTTTGAAATGTTTACAGCTAAAAGAGTATAAATTATAACAGATGCTATGTTTCAATTATACTACCAAAGCTTTAGTTCTCAAGTCCAGTCTTCAAGTAATGATTCTGTTTGGCTGATATCTGACATCATTAGGAATTAATCACGGTGGTCATTAAACAAATCTAAAGTCATTAAGCGAATGCCACAGTGGCAAGTATGAACCCATTCTTCCCAATGAGTGTTTTTGCCATAAACCAGCAAAAAAACCTAGCAAACTATAGTCACGTGACTGCAGGAGCTGCAACTAATTGTAAAGACCAGCTTGTTGTCAAGTACCCAAAATGTGATCACATGACCATGCATGCCAGGCAGTTGTGGTGTGATACTTTACAATTGCTAGAAGAGCTTTATGGGACATAAAGCTTGGTGCACCAGTAGTCCTCGACTTAGGTCATGTAATGATGGTCCAAAGCTACATCAGTCTCAAGAAAAGTGATTTGTCCTCAAAGTTATACTTGTCAACTACTCTTCTGATCTCATGATTGCAATTTGGATGCTTTACAGCAAGTTCTCATTCATCAGTGATTGCAGGATCCTATTATCACATGATCACAATTTGTGATCTTTCAGCAGTTTCCAACAAGCAACATCAATTGGGGAAGTCAGACTACATGATTTTCTTAATCACCATGGTAAATATGGTAATAAAATTGAGTGCAATCATGTGATGACTCATGTAATGAAATAGCTTAGCAGCCAAAATTCCAATCCTAATTGGGGTCATAAGTATATCAAATATATTTTCATGGTTAAGCATCAGATTAAAAATACCAACATTTTAAATCAGATTCACTAGTCTATCTAACTCTGTACTGTCTGGTCTGGCTGGCAGTAGTTCCCAATCTCAAGCAGTCCTGATTTCCCAGTCTTGCTTCTTGACTTTTCAACTGGAAACTACTTCAAGCAGAACTGTCAAAGCTTAAACTGTCTTTTAGCTATCGTTTTTTTTGTTCTAACTACTGAACTTGTCTTTTTTTAAAGATAAATGCATAATAACTGCAGCAATAGATATAGACATTCTCAAAAATACATATGAAATGTAATGACTGAAACCTGCTCCACAAGTTCAAGTTCAAGATTAACTATTGGTCTTTGACAACAGTTTTCTCTTCCTATTTTGCCATTTGAAAATATCATTGTGACCTGTATTTTGGAAAGTCTAATAGTTTTGTTTTTTTTAAAGAAAGGCCTTAAAAAGATAGATATTAATTGTTTTCAATTTCCATTAGATATGTAAATACAGACTGGTGCTAAAACTTCTAAGGGTGCAAACAGTCCTATTTTTAGAAGAATACAACGTATAATAGTTAGAATGTGAGGTAGTGGTTAAAGGTGCTGGATTAGAGCTGGCGAGATTCTAGTTCATCCTCAGCCACAAATACTCATTGGGTAATGTTGGGCCAGTTGCTCTAACCCATTTCAAGGACTTTTGCAGAGAAAAATCGGAAGAGGCAGAGCTATGTATTCCATCCTGAACTTCTGGATAAAAGACTTACATCTAATACATTGTTAGTTTTGAGGAATGAAAAAGTTGAATTTAGCCCCCAGTCTGCAAAATTGACTTGGGCTGAAAATTCACCTGCAGACAGACATGTTCATAGGGTAGGTTTTTGCAAGGTACAGATGGGTTAATAAACGGCACCCAGGCTTTCTCTCCCCCCCACTCCCATTCAGCAAATCAACAATGAAATATACCAAATAAAGAAGCTGGGCACATACCCCCACCCCCACCCCATTAACAATCTTAGGCACAGGAGTCACCTTGCATAGAGGAAGGACTCTGGACCAGAAACACCACCTGTTTCCAGTGGCCAAACTGGGGGGATTAACCGGCGAAGCCAATAGGGAACCCCTCTTGCTCCAAATCATCGCCCCTTCCCAGAGGAAGGGCAACGCTCTCCACAAAAGGAACGGAGCCATTCAATCACTGCCTCACCGGAAGCCTCTGCCTCCAACTCCGCGCCCACCTACCCGTTTTCTCTTCCCGTAAAAGCAGCGGGAGCCGGGGGAGGGGGTGTCTCCCACGTCACTGCCAAACCTGCCCGGAGGACTCCGCCCCCAACTTGCACAGATCCAGGAGGCTTTAAGTTAAAGGAAGGTATAGGAAACACGGGAAAGGGGGGGAGGGAAAGAATCACCTTAATAACGTCTCGCGATACTAAGCTTGGACGGTGCGATCTAGTATTAGAAGTGAGCAGCCTCATTACGTACTGTAGTAAGATGCTCTCTTGACGTCACAAAGGCGGGGCGGGAAGAAGCCTTCTCCTTAGTTAAAGTGAGCAGGTGGAAAGCGGCAGAAGGTTGGTTGTAGCAAAGGTTTCCACAGGTTAGGGTCTGTTTCAGAGGTACATATTGGCAAGTGGTTTAAACACAAGTGAGGGACGGTCCTTGGTGCTTCTCAGCTTGCTTCTTTTCTTGCAGACGTTTCATTACTCAAAACTAGGTAACATCGTCATTTCAACCCCGAGGTACAAGTATTATTTCCTGCCAAAAGAAGACGGGAGTTATTTTACAAATGGGAATCATGCTTGCTGAGGAATTCTGGGACTTGGAGTCCAGAAGTTTTAAAGTTGCCAAGTTTAAGAACGGCTGTGACCTTTCAAGACACCAGGATGGGGAAGAAAACATACAGATTACATATGCTACCATTGGGAAGCTAATTAACATATGTGATCATCTATTTATTTAATATATGGCAATAGCATACATGAACTAGCAATATATATTAACATTTAGTCTAAATTAGTATAACCCGACAAAATATAAATGTTAAAAGGATCCTAGACATTGATATCTGTGATGAAATAAAAGGCAATGTATTATTTTCTGTGTTCAGGTTCACCAACATTTAGAGCAGTTGAAAGCAAAGACCTTCTTTATCTCTTCTTACCTGCATTTCCTCACTTGATCTTATACCCTACCTAAAAAACTCAGAATTTTGTTCATTAGGTTTTGTTCTAATAGAAGCAGAAACATGGTCACAGTATGAGTTTAGGATTTTTTTTTCATAAGTATTTCATGGCAACTAGCAAATGACAAGATTTAATTATGCAACACTGCTGGGATGTATGTACTGACAATGTAATTAAGCAAGTATACAGCCAAGTGTGAGGTATAACTTGATGGAGAAAATATTGCATATATTTTTACCTCTGCAAAAGAATTCAAGTCTTAAAAGAAGGATTTGATTTATGGAATCAAGAAGGAATCTTATTGCATCATGTGCCATTTCCCCCCAGCTGCTGTTAAAATGTCTGAAGAGCCAAGTGTTTTCTGACCTGACTTTTGACATGAACAAGAGAGCCATCCTTTTATTTAAAAATGTGTCTGTGTGGGATATGACTTTGTTAACAATTGCTTCTCTTTCCCTTGCTGCTTTAGGTTTTAAGTGCACAGTTAAGTGACGTGAATGGGAGTACTGATCAAAGCATCTGACAGTGAAGCCACCCATGTTGAATGGCAGCATGTCATGCGTAGGAAGGAGTTTGATGTTCATATATGTGAGACAAGTGATAGATTCTTCCGACTAATTGAATTATGGTGAAGGACCCATTATAAGCAACAGTACTGTGAGAGAAGAACCATCATACATTACAACTATATCTGTTTTGTATGCAGAGTTCCAAATTCAAGCTTTGATATCTTCTATCTTAAAAAAAAATCAGTGGCAGGTGATGGGAGGGATCCCACCTGAAATCCAAGTGATCCAAGTGACTCTGATTTGCAAGTGCTCCAAGATCAGAGTAGACAACATTTGACTGAATGGATTAACCATTTTATCTGGAATAGTATGATTACTTACTTAGACTGTCTAGTTGGACATATTTCCTACAGGATGTGTTTTACCTGAATAGAAATCACCAGATAAGGAACACTGCATGCAGGAGACCAAAAGAAATAGCTAAATCACATATCTCTGAAATCTATTCCTTTATATCTTGAAATAAAGTATTTTCCCATCCAAGAATTATTGTTTCTTTTATTGTTAGAGCTTAAAAAAATCCATCTTTGTTCTGAACATGTTAAATCCCAAATAATCAGTATATAATTCAGTACAATATTATAAAATACATAACTGAACCAGTCTGGTCTAGTGGTTAAGGCTCCAGGCTAGAAAACAAATGAGCATAAGTTCAAGTGCTACCTTAGCCATGAAGGCCAGCTGCGTAACTTTGGGCCACTCACTGTCTCTCAGCCCAACCCACCTCGTAGGGGTGTGTGTGTGTGTGTGTGGAAAATAGGAGGAAGATGTGCTGGATATGTTCATTGCCTTGAGTTATTTGTAAAAATAAGACAGGATACAAATAAAAAAATAGACAGCTTTTTTCAATTTTACCGAAGTATTGTATAAAATTACTTTGAAAAGGGTGTTAGCAAGGTTGTGAACATGCAGCCATTCTATTGCAGCTGAATTTTAAATTTCATGGTTGCATAAGAGAAAATGCTTGAGTACATGGAGTACATACAGATAATCCTCACTAACCATAATTAGAATTGGCAACTTTATTTGTAAATGAAGTGGCTTAAATTGGAAATGTGATGTGCCTGACAACAGTAGTTGGTTCCAACTGCAGTTGTTAAACAAATTACTGTGGGTTGTTAAACATGATGTTATGTGACTGTGATTTGTGACTTCCTGCTGGCTTCCCTACTAACTTTGGCTCATTGGCTGTAAAGATCACAAAAGGTGATCATTTGACCATGGGAAGCTATAACTGTTGTAAATGTACCGCAGTTGCCAAGCGACTCAATCATGATCATGTGACTTACAGGGATGCGGTGAGAACCACAATTTCAAGGACTGCTCCTAAGCCTCATTATTCAGCATGGTTGTAACTTCAAATGGTTCCTGAACAAGATGTTAAGTGAGGACTAGCTGAAATGTATTTAAAAATATATGTAATGTTGCCATGACCCCATTGACTTTTTGAAGCTCAATCCCCATTATGCAAATTAAAGAACTGAACTGGATCTCACTTGATAAAAATCTGAATAAGCAGAGAAAATAGTACAACAGCACCATCATGTGGCTAAGTATCAAGATTGCTTTTCATTCATCTGACCACAAGGAGGAAAACATCATCATACATAATTCTTTTTAATGTAGTAATGAACATGTTTATGGTTTTTTTTTCATACCATAGTATAAGTTAAAATGAAGTGGAATGGGCTGCATTGGAGAATGGGGTTTAGTCCCTGATTGACAATGCAAAGCCAAATATTTATATAAGCCCTTTTAAAAGTTCATCTGCCTAAGGCTTCCAAATGAAACCCATATCATTACAAAAATGTTTAATTCCTTGTTTTTCCTGGACTTTAATGAATTTTAGGGGAATGGGTTTGAAATTTTACTGATCACATGCAATCTTATAATCAAGAATTTGTTCTATGAGAATATTTTCTTATTATTATAGAATATAAATGCAATTTTATACGTAATTGAAGGAAGTATGACTACTTATCACCTTAACCATAGTCAGAAAAGCATGAATTGGACTGTTCTATTGCAACAAGTTCTATTGATGAGATTCAAATGGCATCTCTATATTAATTCCTATCTAATTTAATCCGTATCAAGGAGGAAATAAAAGTTATTTCTGATAACTTTTCACTTAAAATCTAAACTTCATATGCATTATGAATCTTTTGACAGGTCATGTTTGAGATATTTTCAGTAGCAAAACCTTGACTGGACTTGGAATTCGGACCTAGTTAGCACTTGGATAGAAGTTCATCAGGAACTACCAGGACTAGAGGCTAAATTCAGAGGTTGGGAATCACACTGAAAGAAGATAATGGCAAGCCTCATTATTAGGATGAAGATGAAAATTGTGTGGATAGATCCATGGAATCACTATGGATCAAACTTGACTCTAGGGCATTTTTTCTTTTTGATATGAAAAGGCTTTTGTAAGAGTGATTGAAATTATGCATTGATAAATGCTGACCTTAGTACAATTTATGCAAGTTATTAGAAATTATAGTGTAGATCTAACATCAACATAGGCAGTTCACACTAGTCTCAACTCTTGAGGCTCATTGGTGTAAGCGGCATCCTCAGAAAAAAAAAGTTCAAATTTATGAAATAGTTATCTGAATCAGGAATGAGAAAAAAAAACAGAAAAATGGAACTCATGGTTGTGCTAGAGAAACAAATATTTCTCTAAATTGGATATTTTGATACTGTTACAGTTTGTGTTATTTCCATTTCCATCTCACTAATATAGCAACTCTGGCTGGCTTACAATATAAAAAGTTAAAAAGTGCTAAAATATTTAAATTTTGAATAAAAAGATTAAGAGGTTAAGAATCAAGATGATGGACAACCTGGGAGTGAAGCATCCCAATGTAGGGGCCCAAGGCCAAATGGCAAAGCCAAGTGTTTAGGCTCTTCTAAAGGCCAGGAGCATGGGAGCAGATCTCCTATCTCAGTGATCCCCAACCTTTTTTACGCCGCGGCCTGGTATCCCCAACCTTTTTTATGGCGCGGCCCGGTACCGACATCAGCTGGGCGCCGCCATCTTGTTTTGATGAAAAAGTGCTTCCTGTGAGCTTTTCCGGGTAGAAAGCTCACCGGAAGCACTTTTTCATCAAAACAAGATGGCGGCGCCCATCGCTTCTGGTGAGCTTTTCCGGGTAGAAATGGCCCGGTAGGACTTGTTCCACGGACCGGTACCGGTCCGTGGACCGGTGGTTGGGGACCCCTGTCCTATCTGACAGGAGAATATTCCAGAGGGTGGGACCACAGCAGACAAGGCTCTTATCTTATCCTGAACCCCACCACCTGTCAGAATTGTTTGGCGGACAGAATCCAAAGTAGGTCCTTTCCTCTGGGGCGTGTTAGTCCCATCAGGGTAAGGTGATTCCTCAGATACCCTCAGGGGAATAAAAATTTAATTGTGTCCTTCTAGGTTTTTGTTAAAAGTACTGCGAGCCAAAGAACCTTTTGACAATATTTGTGGATCACAAAACTGATGAATCCGAAATAGGCAGCACTCACTCTCATTCTTTATGAATCAATGCATCATATTATCAACTCTCAAACATAAAAATGCAGCTGTTATTCACAATAACATCATTCTTTTATTTAATTAATAAGGGGAATATGTAGCTGGTTT